CTGCTGAAACCCCATTTTGGTGCTGTATAGTTTGTCCTCGAGTTGTTGAATTTGCTTTTTACATTGCTTATATTATCACAATTAAGACCATGAAATTACATTGAATATGAAATATGTCAAAAACACAGGCAAGACAATGTGCTCAAACAGAAAATTTGCAAGAGCTCCTTCCTTCTCTATGTAGTTTATCTATCTATCTATCTATCTATCTATCTATCTATCTATCTATCTATCTATCTATCTATATATCTATCTATCTATCTATCTGTGTCTGTTTGTCTGTTAAAACATACAGTAAAAACAGTAATATTTTGAAATATTATTACAATTTAAAATTTAACATTTTTTTACTTTATTATATTTTAAAATGTTATCTATTCCTTTGATGCAAAGCTGAATTTTCAGCAGACATTACTTCAGTCATAAGTGCCATGTGATCCTTCAAGAATCATTCTAATATTTTTTTATACTTTTTTTTTACTATAATCAGTGTAAAAACAATTGAGCTATTTAATATTTTTGTGGAAACCATTATACTGTCACTTTTCATTCAATTAAATATTTAATGTATCCCTGCTGAATAAAAGTATTAATTTCTTCTTTTTTTTATCATATATATATATATATATATATATATATATATATTATTTACATAAATTTACATAGCGTTTGCAATGTTTAATATGAAAATACATGCAATTTACATGTGTCCTTAACTTCGTCATACTGCATGTCATGATAATGGCCACAGTCACATCTCATGCACCAAATTATTTTGCGGTCCATTTTGCAGGCCACTATTGGCGATTGGAACAATTGCCGATTTACAATTGCCAAGTCTTTAAAAGAGCCTTACTGTAATCGCCATATTCCCAATACAGCTACTCCTCACATTTTTCTTTCATGCATGCTTGTAAAATATACCAGCTTTCTGAAGGTAATATTTGTGTCTGGCAGGCTGTAAGCATTGTTATTTTTAATCAGGCAAGTAGTCAGACTACTCTCAAAATACCTCATCTGGAGCAGCGTCTCAAAGCCGTAGGGCGTGCCTGTAATTTGGGTCTGGAAGATCAGCTGGAGACATGACTAAGAACACAGGCTGCCCAAAATAACTGAAGCCATTCGAGTGAGCTTGTTATGCAAAAATTGGCTTGACACTTTAATGCAAGAAAATCAGTGCAGCTGGTTGAGCGAGTCTAAGGGGCTGCGCCTGTCTTTATCGGCTCCCTCGGTGGGGGGGATCAAGGGAAGCGCCGTTATCTGCCACCGGCTTTTGCGCACCTCTCAGGAAACATACATGTGGGAACAAAACTCTTCAGTTCTGTATTCATCTTAGGTTGCTTATGATGACACAGTCAGTTTGAGCTATTGACATGTTGTTGACAATGGGATAAAAATTATCAATGAGTGGCTGCAATTGTGGCTCTTAACGGCTCTCATTCAGATGAAGAGCAGGTCGAAGTGGATGCATGAATGAATTCAAGAATTGTAGAATTGCCCTTAATTAGCATAAACATATATTTTTTCTGTACATTATCCGTGGGCCAACAGGGAATTGTGTTGATGGTTTTTCTGTGTGCAATTATCACCCGTCATATCGCCACTTGTTATCATTGCTGTTCCTGTTGGACTTGCAATGTGGTATGAAGTAAAAGTCCTCTCTAATTTCTGCCTTTGTTTTCACGTCCACCAATAAAGAAGTAGCAGTGTGTGTTCACGTTTGTACTGCAGAACTGCAGCTTCATGATGTTTTACTGCCATCTGTTGCCAGTGCTTTATACATGTTTTGTAGTCAGACCAATAGTGGCCCCGTGATGCTCTGCGTCTCCCAGCATCCATTCTACTGAACTGTGGCATGAACTGCAATTCTATTCAGCTTTTAGATTACATAGTTGTCGAGTGATGTGTGTGTGTGTGTGTGTGAGAGAGAGATGTCACGATGTTGCATCAGGTCTGAGCACATTTACACAGAATCACCTCCACAAACCCTCTGAGCAATTATATATTTTACCAGTAAAATATAAATCTATGATATTATAAAGGAACCACATCTTTTTAAAATAAGGCTTTTTAGCAGGATATATGGATGGTGGAATGCCTAGCAACCCATAACAG